ATTTGGAACAGTTCCTCAGTATTTCCTTGTCTTTCATGACATTGATGTTTTTGTTCTGTTTGGTTTTGCAGACTCTCCCTCAGTGTGGGTTTGTCTGATGTTTCCTCGTGATTAGATTATAGTTATGCATTTTTGGTAGGAGTGCCATGGAAGGGGTGTTTTATCTTTCTCAGTGTATCCTGTCAGGAGGCACATGATGTCAGTTTGTCCCACTGTCAGTATTAACTTCGGGGTGTGCCTTTATTATTGTTATTTTTAAGTGGAAGCAGGTAGGTTCTGAGAGGGATGAAATTTCACTCCCAGTCAGAACTGGCCCTGTTTCCCAGCCTACCCATGGTCAGGGGAGCCAGGCCCACGACCATTCTGCTCAGAGCTGGTGCTGTAGTTTGGCCCCTTGGACTCGGAAGGCAGCCAAGGAGCTCATAGGCACTGTGGTGGGGGAGGGGAGGGAAGGGGTTATCAGTCTGTGTGCTCTGGGAGTGGCCCTGTGGCACGTGAGGCGTGCTGCTGTTTTCCTGCCAAGGATCTACTCACCATGGCTGTCAGTTACTTGTTAATCTGTTCTTTTGTGGATACCCAACTCTACAAAGAGAGCAGAGGATTCAGGCTCACCCTGGCTGGTCTGCCCTGGACACCCCAGCCACAGCCAGCGTGAGCTGGGGAGGGGACTGCAGCGTGCGTTCATTCGTCAGCCCCAGCCCCCATGCAGCACTGGATCATTTTGATCTCTTATTCAGACAGGAGAACCTTCTTACCTTTTCTTTTCACAGAGGATACAGGATTTCTTCTCAAGAAATAGCTTAACACTTTTTCTGTTACAACATTTAAAATAGATCTGAGTGCTCTGTAGCCACAGCTACAAGGTAAACAAAGAGGAAAGAAAACATTTTAGTATCAGAAAGAGGAAAATAAGAGTGTTTGTGCCCCAGCAAACCGACACCAGGGGATTGGTGGGCAGGGTCTGGTGAAATGCTGCATTGCGGGGGTGGACCGAGTGGGGGTCAGCTGTCACCACTGGCTGCTGGTGCAGTGACAGCTTTCTTTTTCCAGGATGTCTTTATACAAGGAAACAGGATTAAATTAGGAGCTGGTTTTGCCTGTCTTCTCTCAGTGCCCATTCTCTTTGAAGAAACTTTCTACAATGAAAAAGAAGAAAGTTTCAGCATCCTGTGTATAGCTCATCCTTTGGAAAAGAAAGAGAGTTCAGGTATTTCTGGGAGAAAACCGTTTTCTCCTGATTTGTTTTTGTTGGACTTCTTCCTGACATAGCTATTAAAATGTTAAACATCCCAGAAAATATTCAAGAGCCCATAACTGTGTACAATAATTCCCCCTAGAAAAGCCATCTGGAGCTGAGAAGGTATAGATCAGGGCTGCTGTGTACGGTTGTGCAGGTGGTTACACAGTTCCAGGAGGCACTATTCACAGACCTTAGTGCACCTTGATGAATCTGTGATGTGAGTGTCGCCTCCTGACCTCTGCAGTGCGGTAGCCCTGGCTTTGTCTCTGGGTCTCAGCATTAGGGGTTTGCTCGTATAGTGTTATTACTCACCCCGCCCCACCATGGTGCCTCTTAGAGATCTCATTATT